GACCATATGTGGAGAGTCAACTCTTGTCCAAAAACAAAGTGGTACCAGGAATCCATCTGTCAGGCTATGGTAGGAGGAGGGTACTTACCATCTTCACCAGTGAGGTGGAATGGAAAAGTAATATCTGCCCTGCAACCAATTCAGCACCAGACCACCCAAGAACTCAACATCCAGGTAGTAGTAGAATAAGAGAAAGCCAGCCAGAGGGGTGAACTATACTACATGGACAGAACTGAGTGAAACTGGTCACATTTAGGAGACATCCTCCATGGTCCACTACCCAAATGGCTAGAAAATGGTGAGTGACAGGACTCTCAAGCTCCACTAGTAGAAAATAAAAGGGAGGAAAGAATGGTGGGGAGTCTGAGGGAGTGCATCACCATAAGATAATGCAATGAGTGATCACAAAAACTATTTTTAAAAGCAGGCTAGTACTAGGTTTTAAACTAGACCTAGAGGAAGGGCAGGGATCCACTGCCTGCTTTACTCATGCTAGTCTACAAGTGGGTACAGCCTGGATCAGGCCTTGCTTAGCATAATAAATGCCACAAGAATACCTTGAGGAGACTTGTGGAACACCCCATCTCATGGGTGAGTGCCTGTAACAGGCCAGAATGGCCCTACACTGTGCCAATTTTGGTTATGTATAACCTGGCAGGCAACAATTGCCACTGAATGGAATCCTCTGTAAAAAGTGGGTAAGATAAAATAAGAAAGACCTACCTAGCCAGAGACAGTATGATGTGTGAAGAATATCAACCAGACACAGTCTATAGCCACAGTTAAACCAGCCAATAAGGCACTACCAGAAAAACCCAACAAGGAGTGTCCCAAATGAGGGAGAGAACATGAGGTAGGAAATGAATAGGGAGTTAAGCATAAGGGAAGAGATTGGACCAGTCCTGACTGAACACATCCACCATCAGTGCTGCTAGGCTCAAGAAAGACAATCTGCAACAAGATTTAGGGCACCCAGAACATGACAGACCACAAGATGGACTTGTAGATATTTGAGGGCACAAAGAGGAGGTCAGGGATTTGAAAACACAGAGAGTGAGACTGAATTCCTTCTGGCAAATGAAGTAGGATGTCACAGTTGAGTTGTCTAAATGGATCATCATCAAATGGCCACATACAACTGGAAGAAAATGATCCAAAGCCTGACAAACTGCTAAGAACTCCAAAAGGTTGATATTGATGGTTAATTGCTCCTGGTTCCATCAACTTGAAATCCAAAACCTGTCATAGAAGCATCTGTAAAAAATGATGATGCAGACATGAGGGAGGAAGAGGCACACCCAACAAAGTATTGGTCCTGTCAAGCCACCAGGTGAGATTGACATACAGTGAAGGGGGAAGATGAACAAGGGAAGACAAGGGATCCCAAGAGAGGTTCCATTAATCATGTAGAGTGAACTGTGAGAGCACGACCCAAGGAGACAAGGGGTACCATGGAAGCCCAAGTTCCCAAAAGAGAGAAACTCTTACAATGGAAGAAAAGGAGAAGACAGGGCTGAGGAAACCAAACTGATTGGATATGAGATGAGACTTCTTCAGCTTGACCAGCCAACCAAAAGATGCTTCCAGAAGGAGGTGGATGGAGAATAGATAACATAAAAGGGAAGTAAGTGTAAGGCAAGGATGAGAAAACTGAGCTTGATAAAGAAAATCAGAGGACAATGGATCAAAACCCCAAGCCTGAAGAAGAGGCTCCAGAGTTTGGGAGTCCAAGAAAAGGACTTCAGCTCGATTGTATTCTAAGGCATATGTACAACCAGTTGATGAGAATGAAGCATACCAACACAAGTTGAGATTAAAAACAAAATTTCAGCATGGACTCAGATATCAGAAGAAGGAGGAAAAACAATTCTAAAGAAGAGGCCAAAGAAAAGAGGAAAGTATGGTATAAGAATAAATAGGAAAGTGAAAAAAAAAGGTAAAATGCCTGAAAAGTTACAGAAGGACACAAAATGTCGAGGTAGATCCACATCTCCACTGGAAGAATTGTTTGAAAATGTAGGTGGCAGGAAGAACTGCTTAAGATCCATACCCTCACAAACAGAAATTATAGGAGAGAAGTCTGTGTCGAGGCCTGATAAATGCCCAGGTCACACTCAAGACTTCACCACCCACCACACAATAGCTGACCTTAAAGAAGCACCTGAACAACACTGTCCAGATGTTCAACACTAGACAATGTAAAATGACCATCTCTGTGTAATATGTGTTGTGGGAAATATGTCACAAAGTCTGTAGAACTGCTTGGAAACAAAAAAATGTTTCCACAACAGGTGGTTTTGTAGATACTTCAACCAAATGTTGATGTTGAGAAATCTGACGGGAGTAAAAAAAGACATGTTTTAACACATGAACGCCAGATCAAGAAGTGATGTTTAAACAATCAATATAGAGGGAGCCAGCTGTGTCAAGTGATGATGTTACACTCAAATAGGTGGAGGGCTGTTGCTTGTTCATTTGCCACGAGATTGGGTGTGATCCTCAAAGTTAGTGGCAAGTAAAAACATTCACATATAGAGAGCAGCAGTGAATTGGGAAAAACTAGATGTATCATACTGGAAAAAAGTATTTTTATTCTTAACATGAAAATCACTTTGTAATCAGACTAGTCTGAGTCAAATTATGACTTCATAGGTTCACTTTAGTAAAAATACTTAAAATAATAAAAAACAACAACAGACTTTTAATGTTTACTAAAAACTTGCTAAATTTTATGAAGGTGTACTTATTACATGAAAAATTACAGTACGTATAGGCTTGTGGTTATATGGTGGTTAAAAAATTGGTTAAAATGATCAAGCCTGTATGTGGAGAGCTAAGACTGTACATAATCAGACTTCAGATATAGTTTTCTTTATATACGAGGCCTGTGAGAAAAGTA